TGCACAACTTGAAGAACATCACTAAGTGATACATGGAGAAATTGTTGAATTGGTTTATGTTTTAGTGGGTTTTCTTTTCAACTAGAACAATAGAAATAGAATTATTTTTAAAACAAAGCCCACTCCCACCAGCCACTTTCTCCATCTAGGAGAAAAATTTTGGTACCACTGCCTAAGCTGGCTCTGGGACTGGAGAGCTGAAAGCGAGTATGCCGGGGAGGAGGAGGCTCCTGAAGGAACTGGGGGTGGGGACAGTGCTTTCTGAGGCCTTCAGCCACCTTACAGCTGAGACCCCAGGGGTCAGCCTGTGTGCAGTCAGATAGGGTGGGCCACAGGCTCCATGGCAACCCCAGAGCCTTGCACTCATATTCATGTCAAGATCTGATACCATGAAAAGCCTCCACTGACTTAGTCGAGGCCAGCCACTGTGCATACATTATCTCATCTAACCTTCCAGCAATCCTCTAGGCTAAGTATTCCAAACCGTGTTCATGGCGGTCAGTTTCCCACTAAGCGCTGCTTTCTCTGTATCACACAAATTTTGCTATCTTGTGTTTTCATTATTCTTTAATTCAAGGTATGTTTTGATGTCTCTCAAGACTTCTTTTTCTCAAATATTAATTAGAAGTATACTATTTAATCACTAAATATTTTGAGATTTTTCTAGCTCTCTAATTTTTATTTCTAGCTTAATTCCATTGTGGTCGGAGAACTACTTTGAATGCTGTTTATTCTTTTTTTATGTTTATTCTTTAAAATTTGCTAAGGTATGTTTTATAGTTTCGACTAAGGATTCATATCCCTGTTTTAAAGGTGAAGAAGCCGATTTGAGGAAGTTCAATAAATTGCCCATGTCGAGTGTAGAGTCAAGATTCTGTTCCTGTGAGTCTGTCCATCACAGAGCTCAGAGAGGAATCTGTGTGGGCCTTGCTTGTAGAAAGCCCAAGGCTGTAGATGCCACAGGATGTAAGGAACTTGTAGTACAGCCTGTATGTATGTGGACCAGCCACCTGGTGTAGTTGTTGTCATGTACCCTTGAGTCTAAACCAACACATAGCTGAGCCTCTAACAAGTTTTCAGAGGCTGTAAGTCACAGTGAAGGAGACTACCCATCTTTGCTCCTGTGGACCAGCTGGTGGATTTGTACTGTGTGCTTTTGGGTTGGCAGCACAGTTCCTTACCACTAGGCCAACAGCATTTCCTACATGGTATGGAGAGAGGAAAAAAACCCAAGAACATACAGTGGGTTTCTCATGATTACTGGTCTGTTTCCCACCCCATTTCCAGGGTTGGTAGGAGAATTAAATATGATGATGATACATGAGAAAGTGCCAACACATTTGTCACATAGGATACAGTATGTACATGTGAATGTCACTTCCTGTTTCTCAATTCCATTTAACTCACTTATGGTTGGAAGTATTAAAGACAGTATCTGTTGAAAGTCCATGAAGCCCCATGTTTTGCTTTTTGCTTTCATCCATCATCTGAGGGATCCCAAAGCCAAGTGTGGGGTCTTTGCACTGGCTATTTCCTCTGCCTGGAATCACTTTGAGGTGCCATCTAGATTCAGTCAGGTCTCTGCTTATCTGTTAACTCTTAAGACCCTTCTTGTAACCCAGTATTGTCTATTTAGTGGTTTGTCTGGGTATTAGCTTCTCAGTAGAATGGAAGCTTCCTAAAGGCTAAGGTGTTATCTTGGCATGAGGCAGCAGCTCAGTACATGTCTGAGGAATGTATGACTGAAATTGTTCCCTGTTTTTCCACAGGCGAGGTGACCACTCTGGCTTCAAGAGTGAGTATACTAGTCTGGTGAGGAGGCCGAGACAGGTGAGGAGCTTTGGGGCCTGTGTGCAGACCATGGGAATCAAAGGAGGAGGGGGAGGTGTGGCAAGTTACCCCCTTGCCCCCCAAGGAGAATGAAATAATGGGAGTTCAGTACCTTGCTTGATGAGTTACTGAGGGACCCAGAGCTCTAAGCCCCTTTCACAGAGGCTTCAGTGGGCAGGGAGGAGAGGAGACGAGAGGAGTCAGTGGTGCATGAGGGGCTTCACACTTTTACAGTGAGAAGGATTCCCACCTTCTGGGAATCTCCATTGTACATGTGCAGAAAGAAAGCACTTATGGGGCGCTCTGGGGGCCTAGTGGCAAGGAGCTGCAACTACAATCCCAGAGGCACACGGTTCGAATCCACCAGATGCTCTGCCAGGGAAGGAGGGACAATTTCCTCCTGTACCAGTCAGATCTGATTTGACGGTACACTCACACAAAAATAATAAAGTAAAATTTAAAAAAAAAAAAGAAAGCACTTGTCTCTAGTAGAGTAATTTAAAAAACTCAAATGGAATAGGAAGACCAGTCAGAGTAACTAAGGCAGTGGTTTGGTGCATGTGACGAGGGTTCAGAAACCTGTGGCGGTAGTTAGTCTCTCCAATTAGGCTGTCAAGTCATCAGTCTTTCTCCTGCACTCCTACCAGGTATCTCAACAGGAACTGTTAATATAGACAGTGATGTGAATACAGTGTCCCTGTCCTCACAGAGTTGCCAGTCTAGTGGGAAAGACGGTTACAGAACCAAACAGACGAGGCACCTATAGACTTAGACGAGGGGCCATGAAGACTAAATGAGACTTGGGCTAGTGAAAAGGAGAAAGACAGGAGACCTCTGCAAAGGGAACAGCATGGAAAAGGAAGCTGATTCTGGTTTATAGAGGCTTTTATTAGTGGCACTGCCAACCCAAGGGCACACAGTTCAAATCTACCAGCTTCTCCAAAGGAGAGAGAGGGGCAGTCTCCTCCCATGAAATTTAATGCCTCTGAAAACCTACTGAAGAATTGGCAATGAGTTGGTTCTGACTTGGTCACATATAACACAAGGCTGGCGTGGCTGGAGCAACTGTAGCTAGAAAGCAACCTTAGAGGCCTGTAAACTACCTCCTGCAGTAGCCAGAAAGAAACTAAGGTCACCTGTCCTGCACCCAGCAGGAGTCAAAAGGCCTAACCTTAAATTGTATAAACAGCGAACAGCAGAGCCGGGCCTAGAACTTGGGTCACTGGTTCCCAACCTTCAATTTCTTCTCTTTAGATTACTAAGAAATATCAACCATATCGGCCTCTGTAGGCCAATGCTTTCAGAGTGCTTTCTCTTCTGTGATCATGTTTAATACAAAGAATTCTTCGGGAAGAATTCTACCCATTTCTGAGTTAGAAAACATGATCAGTTTGTTGACTAAATGAATGAGCAAGTTTCCATGTGTTCACCCAGCTCATAGCAGGTACACACAGAGAAAACCTTCGGTTGCATGCCAGAGCTTGTCCACATATAACCTAAAATGTGTCCTTGCCCTTGACAGAGTGTCCTGCTGACCATGGGGACAAAATCCTAGTTGTCTTACTTGTTAACATTAATTGCCAGAATTTTAAAACTTACCATTACTTGTTACAAATATAATAGTTTATGTTTCAGTTTTAAAAAAAAAATTTATAGCTTCTTCACATTGCTCTCACACCCCTAATCTTTGTTTGCAATGACAGAATGAGAGTAAGTAACATTGTCCTTACTTTACAGATTAATAGATTGGCACACAGGGTGTTTAACTGACTAATCCCAGATGGTAATTCAGATCTCCCCTCTCTTAGCCCGGTGTTACCTGGGATAGAAGCTGTGGACGTACCAAATAGGTGCCTTCACGTCATTGCCAGATCTCGGCAACCCCGTATGTGTCCTCAGAGCTGTACTCTGTAGAGTATGCTGTATGCTGGAAGTAGATGAAACCAAGGGGGACCTGAAGCACTTGCTGCAGAAGGTCAAGAACTGTAGTCTTCAATATGGTTTAAAGTTCATCATCAGGAAGACAAAGATTCTCTCACCACATGGCCAATTGGCAGCACCTTGATAAATGGAAAAGAGATTGAGGTTATTAAAAATTACAGCTTGCTTGGCAACACTCTTGGCACCACATGTCAGGAAATCAAAAGACGAATTGCACTGGAGAAGTCTGCCATTTCTCAGAATACTGAGAAACAATTTCAGTCTGGAGACTAAGGTGCACCTGATCGAGGCCATGGTCTTTGCAGTTACATGCTATGCTTCCTAGAGAGCTAAGGATAACAGAAGAATTGATGCCTTCGAGTTGTGGTGCTGGAGAAGAGTCTTGAACATACCATGGACCACCAAGAAAACAAGAGAGAGTGAAACCAAGTTTCTTCTTAAAGACTAGGATTTTGAAGCTCCGTCTCACATACTTTGGGCATGTGACTAGAAGGGACCAGTCCTTGGAGAAGGACATCGTGCTTGGAAGGGTGGAGGAACAGCACAGGAGAGGAACACCCTGGATGAGATGGATTGATACAGTAACTAGGGCAGTGGGGGTAGTTGTGTTGGAATCAGTGAGACAGGCTCAGAACAGGGCAGGCTTCAGAGCTGTTGTACGTAGGGTCCCTCTGAGTCACAGGCACTTGAAAGCATATAACAACAAGAGATATCATGCTTTTCTTCCAAAGTGCTTTTGATAGACTCAAACTTCTAACCTTTCAGTTAGCATTAACTGTACCACCCAGGGACTCCATGTACAAGTGTACTGAACAAACCTTCTTCAGTGAGTTGACTCCAGCTCGTAGTGACCCTCTATCAGGTTTTCGAGACTAAATCTTAAGGGTGAAATCTGTCCATTTTCTTCTCATGGAGTGAGTTCAAACCATTGACCTTTGGGTGGTAACACAATGTGTTATCAGCATAGCTACTCTTTTGTATAAGAGTAAGGGTTTATCAAACAATGGTCTCTGTTCTTAAGATGAGCAAAACATCAGGGTATCTGCCACATGGCCAGGAGATTCCCAAGCTTGACACTGAGTTGTTAAAGTGTGTGTGGCACTGTGGCCACACTGATCTAAATTCTCAGAATGCTAATGAGTTTCATCATCTCTGTCCTACCTCCTCCACTCGCCTCCTGGCACCTTGAAACAGCCTGCCCAGGCTTCTCTCACTTTCTCCAAGACCTAATGTCAGAGACAATGGACCAGGCAGCCGGGGGACCTGGAGATCCACAGCCAGGAGACAGTGGTGATGGTGCCGTGGAGCCAGGCACCTGCCAGGAGCTTCTGCACCGGCTTCGGGAGCTGGAGGTAAGATGTGGTATAGGGAGGGTGTGCACTGGCTGGGGAGGCATGGTTGCCCCTTCCTCTGGGATTTGTTTGGGTTGTTGTAGATGTAGTGGGCCTTCCACAAAGCCTCATTTTCCAGCCACAGCAGAGTTGATGCTCCATCAGCAGTACTCTTCCGAGAAGCCCTTTCTTGTTCTTGGTTCTCTGACCCTTGTGTCAAGGTCAGAAGACATGCACAGGATGTCGTTGTTGTTTTGTTATGTGCCATTGAGTCACTTAAGACTCATAGAGACCCTATGTAAAACAGCTCTGAACCCTGTTCTATCCTGAGCCAACCTCATAGTCTCTGATACACCTACCCCCATTATGCCAGTCACTGAGTCAGTCCATCTCATCAAGGGTCTTCCTCTCTTGTGCTGTCCCTCCACCCTCCAAGGGTGTCACTCTCCAAGGACTAGTCCCTCCTTGCAACATACACCACTAGGTATCTCCCATCTTTACCCACTTCCCCCTACTTTCCTGCCACTGGGCCTGCAGGAGTGTAGGCCTTAGAAGTCACAGAGGAAAGGCTTGGGTGACTTGGCTTAGGGGAAGAGGGACATGTCTGCATACCAGCCCTTCATGTTCTTAAGACCCTGCTTTGCTCCCTCATGACCTCTCTGCTCACTTGTAGGATAAAAGGCTTAGTCTTGGCACCTTCCACATCTGTTCCTTTCACGATACCAGAGCTCAAGTGGGCGGGTTTTCATAAACTCGACTTGAACTCTGTCATCTTGATGCCAGTAGTCCATCTATGTAACCTCTTCATGTCAGATCCTGATGAGAACAGAGAGCAAAGCTTTAACTTGGACTACTCATCTCCCCTTCTTCATAGGGAAATGCCCTGGTGAAAAATTATTCCCCAAGGTTCCTTTTTGCTCTCTTCTTCCCTCCTACCTGTAGGCAGAGAACTTGGCACTTGCTCAGGCCAACGAGAACCAGCGGGAGACCTATGAGCGCTGTTTGGATGAGGTCTGTGATTCTTGCATTGGGGTCAGTGCTACTGGAGGGAGGAGTACAGTTTGCCTGCTTTGGGTTGAGACCAAGCCAGCTGACAGCTCTAACTTAGGCTTTCTGTCCCCAGGTTGCCAACCACGTGGTGCAGGCACTACTGAACCAGAAGGTGAGTGGTCACAAAAGATCTTGTCATCCCTCAGCCAGGATGCTCTGGGGAGTGGGTGAGGGCCTTCCTGGAACATTGAGCCTGCTTAGCTAAGCCTTGCTAGAGGCTAGAGGCGAGGGTTTGATGAGGATAACCGTATTGCCTGGGACCCTGATCCTGCTTAGATAAGTCTTGCTAGAGGCTAGAGGAGAGTTTGATGGAGATAAACTGATTGCTACTCTTCCGTGCCTTGGGCAGGTCCATACTGTTCCACCTGGAGGCGGGGGTGGGGTGGGGGTGGGGGATTAAGATCAGGTCTTTTTGAACTATGCCAGCTTTCATTGGGACTTGAATCCTTCCCTTTCCCTGGCCCCAGCTGGTTCAGCCAGGTTGTAAAGACTCTGAAAGTAGTAATGATGCTGTGAGCATAAAGGTTAATCTAAGTATTTACCAAGGACTCTGAGTACTTTCTTGACAGATGAGCCACTCACTCTGATTCCTAGATCTTCCTCTGCTTTTTATCAGCCCTTCTTTATTTTTTAATTGAGATTTTAATTAAAGTTTATAGAGAACTTGGATTTCCATTCATTCATATTGCATATTCTCCCCTTAGTTCACTTTTCTCTTTGAAAAAAAAAATTTTTTTTGTTATACAATTCCCCCCCACACCCACCCAAACTCCACTTTACTATATAGCTCCTATTCTGGACTCTTGTCATGCAAATAATACCTAATCATATATTCCTTTTAAACAGTTCTCTCCCTCAGCTATTTCAATGCAGTATACATTATTTATCCTGTCTTTTCTTAGTTTCTCCCCCAATCCTGATGTCAGTCCTGTTTTCTAACAGTGGCATTATGCAGTATTTGATCCTTTGTGACTGAGATGGTTCACTCAGCATAATGTCCTCCATAGTCACCCATTTTGTAGAATATTTCATGAGTTTCTTCTTTTTCAATGCTGCATAGTATTCCATTGTATAAAGATGCCACAGCTTCTCTACCCATTCATTTGTTGATGGGCACTTAGGTTGTTTCCAACTCTTTGCTATTGTGAACAAAGCAGCGATAAACATGGGTGTGCATATATCTGCTTCGGTGGCAGTTATGGTTTCTTTAGGGTATATTCCCAGCAGTCAGATTGCTGGGCCAAATGATATTTCTAACTTTTTGAGAAAGCGCTATACTTCCTTCCATAGTGATTGCACACCATTTACACTCCCACCAACAGTGAATAAGGGTTCCGGTTTCTCCACAACCTCGCCAGCATTTGTTGTTTGCTCCTCTGTTGAATTTTGCCATTGTTACTGGGATGAGATGATATCTCATAATTGTTTTGATTTGCCTCTCTCTTAGAACTAGGGATTTTGAACATTTCTTCATATGTTTGTTTGTCATCTGAATGTCTTGTTTGATGAAGTGTCCTGTGCCCATTTTGCAGTTGGGTTGTTATTTTATCTTGTTGTGGTGTTCAAGTATTCTATAAATTCTAGATGTAAGTCCCTTATTAGACATATCGTTACCAAATATTTTCCCCAATCTATGGCTTTCCTTTTTACCCTGTTGGAGTTTTTGGAAGTGCATAGGGACTTGATTCTTTTTTGTAATTTTTTAAAAAAATTTTATTATTTTTGTGTGTGTACTATTGATTCGGATCTGACTGGTACAGGAGGACATTGCCCCTCCTTCTCTAGCAGGGTATCTGGTGGATTTGAACCATGTACCTCTGAGATTGCAGTACAGCTTCTTGCCACGAGGCCACCAGAGCTCCGGGATTTGATTCTTAGAAGGTCCTATTCATCTGTTTTATCCTTTCCTAGTTATAGATTTTTCAGGATTCTTGGAAGACTGTTCATGTTGTGGATTAGGGCTTCTAGAGTTCTTCCAGGCTTTTCTCTAATGAAGTTTATAGTCCTTGGTTTTAGTCCCAGGTTCTTGATCCATTTTGAGTTGGTTTTGTGTGTATGGTGTGAGGTGTGGGTCTTGCTTGAGTTTTCTGCAAATAGTTTTCCATTTTTTCAGCCTTTCTTTGATGTGTTTTCTAAGAAATAAGAGATTGATTCCCAGATGGGAAGGCACTAAGGGAATGGGATGTATCTCACACCAAGATAGTAAATTTAGGGGATTCCCCATCTTCAGAAAGAGGCTGTCGTTACAGTTCTTCACAGCAGGGTGTAGGAGGGCAGACAAAATAGAAATCCTGGGACCTTTATGAAGCATATGTGCCCACTGCGCCGTGGGGGAGATTGTGCTCCTACCTCATCCCTCCCCTTCTTGTGCTCAGCATCTGTTCTCTCTCCTTCTGGATTGGACAGGACCTGCGGGAGGAGTGCATCAAGCTGAAGAAGAGGGTGTTTGACCTGGAGCGACAGAACCAGATGTTGAGCGCCCTGTTTCAGCAGAAGCTCCATCTCACAGCAGGCTCCCTGCCTCAGGTGGGCACGTGCACTTTTCCTTCCCTCCTCATCATGCTCCCACCAGTTGTCATCCTCACTTTCCCTGCTGTACCCACAGAAGATACCCATTCCTCATCCACTTAGGAAGCTGTGGCATTCAGGAAAGATAAGCCTAGCCTGCTAAATCTGAGTCTTAGACGGGGCAAAAGCTATCTGAATCCCCCCAAGCTTGTCTCTTCCCCAGGTGCTCCCTGCCCATCTCAGTGACATCCCTTCTTGTTGACAAAGATGGGTGGAGGCTAGAAATGCAATTACTTCAAGCTCCCAGAGGGCCCCTCTGACTACTGACATTGCTGCTTCTTGGCCAGGGGTAGAGGGTGGGCCAAGTGTGAGGCACTCCAGTGTTCAGTGTCAGAGAGAGGTCAGGACACCATGACTCTTTGTGCATAGCTGTGTATACTCAGCCACCAACCACAGTGGTCTCTGCTTCTGACCCTGCTACGTGCCTAGCCTGAGAGAAGCAGGAGGCCACTGGAAGTGGATCCTGGGCTGAGTTAAAGTGTCACCTCTGCCACTTAAGGATAGGGTGAAACATGGGAGCCAGAGGGCCAGAGGCAGCTCCCCATATCTGAGACAAACAGTGGATTCTTTCTGGAGTTCTCATTAACAACACAAGAAGCACTTTCTCTACATGTGTGCATCTGCCTATATGACTAACTGGCTCACTGAAAAACGCTTCTGTTCACTGGGCAGCCCTGGACCTCTCAAAGTAAAAAGTCTCCTGATCACCTCATCCTTTCTCAAGCTCCTTTCACCAGGTTAACGCTGCAGTCCCCACATGCTTGTCTATCTGTGCTGTTCTCTGTGCCAATGATAACAGGTTTTTACTTAAATAGATCTTGGGACCTATTGAGGTTTTGGGGAATGGATTTTATCTTTCCAAGCAATAACATGACATAATGGAAAGAGCATGAACCTTGGCCTCATATAAACTTGAGGTGGATCCCTGACTTCAGCTACTTCTTAGCTGTGACCATGGGCACATTACTTAACCTGATAAACTAAAATGGTTTGCTTTTTAAAAATTAGGATGACAGTCTATTGCAGTTGTCTTGTGAATTAAATAAGATAATCTGTAGTACTTGACACACACAGTAGATGGTCCATACATGACAGCTGTTTCTCATTATCAGTGTTGTTCTCAGTTTGTGTTTAGCTAGGATGGAAGCTCCATTCAGCAAATGTTAATTAAATTCGCCTTGTGAGCACTGACTGTGGGCAAGATTAGACTGATCTCCAGACCCTGTCTGAAGGCTATGGTTTATTCAGGGTGATGGTAGCTCCTGACGGTGGGGGCTGCCGAGAGCTCCAGCACATCTGTAGACAGCCGTGCTGCAGAGCAATGTGGTCGGTGCATTCTGCCAGTCGTCTAGGGGGGAGCTCAGGAAGCCTCCTTTAAAGAGAATACTTTGGACCTAGGCCTTGAAGAGAGAAGATTTTTAGAAAGATGGAGAGAGTGGATCAGCAGAGATCCTAGGGCAGGAAAGCTTGGGGAGGAGCAAGAGGTTCCACTTGGCTAAAGCAAAGCCTACATGAGGGAAAGAAAGAAACCCAGCAGGAGGAGCATTCTAGCTGGAAAGCGCCAGCAGAGTTCAGAATGTTTCCTGGACAATGTGAGATTTTTGAGCAGATAGGTGTTTTTGGTTACCACGTGCACGAAAGAGTGAAAGGACCACCAGCCCAAGTCAGGGGACTTGTTGAGGTGCAAACATCATGTTCACTAGAGGTGAGACGGCCTGGGCTGCACATGGGCAGAGCTGGGAGAGAGACACCACCGAGACAGGCTGTAATGGCTGTGGGGAGTGAGGGAGAGGGAAGAGTGGGAGAAGGAAATTACATCCTCAGGAATCATGATTAAATACTACCTCAGTAATCCTGAGTAGATGTTTCACATGAGACCAATTAGGGAGGACAGAAATGATAACTCCCTGCTAGCTTTCTGACTCTTTTCTTAAACCTGGAAGCAAATGCCTCTTGCACTAGCTGCAGCCACCCTGCGGCCCGGGTTCACAGTGCTCAGACCTGGAATGGTTTTTATACTGTTGTTGCATGCTGTCCTGCCAGTTCCTACTTGTAGACCACCCATTTAATAGTCAACAGCTCCCTAGGTTTTTCTTACCTGTTATCTTTATGGAAGGAGACTCACTGGATAAGTTTGAATGGTCAGCCTTCGGGTTAGCAGCCAATGCTTAACTCTTGTACCACCAGGGCTCCTTGCTTTTACCTTGTTGTTGTGTACCATCGAGTTGGAATCTCCCCATTGCTGACCCTCTGGCAGGTTTTCAGAGGCAGTAAATTTCACAGGAAAAGACTGTCCGTCTCTCTCCAGTGGCGCAGCCAGTGGATTCAGACGGCATACTTTTGCATGGGCAGCACATTTCCTTATCACTAAGCCAGCAGCCCTCTTGTAGTAGAGGAAGAAGTGCCACAGGAAAGTGCTGCAGTTGAGATGGTTAACCCTGCTTAGACGTTTCTGCCACCTGGGCCTTGCACAGCCTTCACATCTATCCAAGCCATTGTCTCCCGAAACATCTCTTATGAGTTGGTGGGGACAGCAGCCAGGAGCCGAGTTTGGGCCACAAGATGCTCCTGAAGGATAGACATGCGTAGGAAGGGCTGGCTTGGGCCTTGGGACCAGACAGCAGCCATGCTAACTTTGCCTCTCCCTCGGCAGATTCCACTGTCCCCACTCCAGATGCCATCCGAGCCACCAGCCTCCCCCTCCCTGAGCTCCACTGAGGGACTGGCCACCTCCCTGCCTGTGGGACGCTGTGCTGGGCAGAGAGAGGTAAGAGGACAGGGCACAGAGGTCTGTGGCTTCATTGGCTAGGGGAAAGTTGGCTTGTACTCATGGCTGTTTCCTAACGAAGCCCAGGAGAGGGGTTGCTTGCCGATACAGACTTTTGTCTAGGCTCGAGTTTATGAAGTTAATTAAGTGTAGGGAGCCCGGGGCATGTAATTGTTAAGTACTCAGCTGCTGATGGAAAGGTTGTCAGTTCAAACCCATATCACATTCCTTGTTGAGTGTATTCTTGTTGGAGTATGACAAATGGACATGTCTCTCTCCCCTTGGGCGTGCATAGAGATTTTAATTGTAGATAGTAAACCCTGCTGATTAAAAAGCAGAGGGAGATTTGGGACAACCAGGAAGAGGAAGTGGGCTCTCCATTCAGCCTATCAAGTGTGCCTGGAAGAAGATTTGGGTGACCAGCTCTCAGTGATTCTTGAGGATGCTAAGTCACCATGTCTCTAGAGATGTCAGTTCCTTTTAAGAGTTTAGACACAACCAGGTCCCCTCAGCTCCCATCATACTTGGTTATGCCCAGCTCAGGGCCTGGGCCCAAGTCAGGGTCCCAGCTTCTCAGGGGCCTTCTCTTCATGCCCTTTCTCCCTCAAGGTTTGTTGGGAACAGCAGCTACGGCCAGGAGACTCGGGACCCCCAGCCACCCCACCCCCAGCACTGGATGCCCTTTCCCCATTCCTTCGGAAGAAAGCCCAGATCCTGGAGGTGCTGAGGGCCCTGGAAGAGACTGATCCCTTGCTTCTGTGTTCACCTACACCCCACTGGCAGCCTCCAGGAGAGGGGCCTGGCACTCCAGAACCTATCAACAGCGAGCTGTGTGGCCCATCCCGGCCTGAACCCTCTTCCTGGGCCCCCTATCTCTTACTGGGCCCCAATAGCCTGGGAGGCCTGCTGCACTGGGAGCGCCTCCTCAGGGCATCAAGAGAGGAAGAGGGTACTGGTCGGCCCTGGGGACCCAGGGGACCCACACAGGCCCAGGGCACCAGCTCTGCCCCACATTGTGCCCCAGGCAGCAGCCCCTCCTCCTCTTCTGATGAAGCAGGTGACCCGAATGAGGCCCCCAGCCCCGACACCCTGCTAGGGTCTCTAGCCTGCAAACAGCTGAACCTAGGCCAGCTCCTTGAGGACACAGAGTCTTATCTACAGGCCTTCCTGGCAGGAGCTGCAGGCCCATTCAACGGAGACCACCCAGGTCCTGGACAGTCATCCCCCCCAGACCAGGGGCCCTCGCAGCTGCCCAAGTCCAAGGGCCTCCCTAAACCAGCTTGGGGAGGGGGTACCCCAGAGGCCCATAGACCAGGCTTTGGTGCTACCTCAGAGAGCCAAGGACCCCTCCCCTTCCTCAGCATGTTCATGGGTGCAGGGGATGCCCCCCTGGGCTCACGGCCCAGCTACCCCAACTCCTCATCTCAGGTGAAAAACAAGCTCCAAATTGGGACCCCTTCTCCTGGAGAAGCCCAGGGACCCCTTCTGCCCTCTCCAGCCAGAGGTCTCAAGTTCCTAAAGTTGCCTCCAGCTTCTGAAAAGATCCCCAGCCCAGGAGGCCCCCAGCTCAGCCCGCAGCTCCCCCGGAACTCCCGAATCCCCTGTCGAAATGGTGGCTCAGATGGGAGCCCCTCCCCACTGCTGGCCCGCCGGGGACTTGGGGGAGGAGAACTGTCCCCTGAGGGGGCACAGGGCTTGCCCACCAGCCCTTCACCCTGCTCCTCAACATCAGAGTCGGCCCAACTCAGACCCCCACAGCCAGCCTTGTCCACCACGCTATCCCCAGGGTCAGTGGTGTCTCCCTGCTATGAGAACATCCTGGACCTTTCCAGGGGATCTTTTAGGGGTCCTTCCCCAGAACCCCCTCCGTCCCCTTTGCAGGTTCCCACCTACCCACAACTGACTTTGGAAGTGCCACGAACTGCCGAGGTGCTCAGAAGCCCTGGCGTCCCCTCTAGCCCTTGCGTCCCTGAATCCTACCCCTATGGGAGCCCCCAGGAGAAAAGTTTCGACAAGGCAGGCTCGGAGTCCCCACATCCTGGCCGAAAGACCCCAGGCAACTCCTCTAAGAAATCCAGCCAGGGGGCAGGACGTCGACCTGGGGATCCTAGCTACACACCCCTGCGCGACAGACTGGCAGCCCTGGGGAAACTGAAGACAGGCTCTGAAGGACTTCTGTGCACAGAGAAGAATGGAGTGCCAGCCAGGCCTGGCACCGAGAAGACTCGGGGACCAGGGAGGTCTGGGGAGAGCATTGGAGATGTAGCTCCCAGCCCCAGGACCCCTGAGCAGCCAGAAACCAAGGGGGCACTTCGGGGGGCAGTGGCCTTAGGCACAAGTAGCCTGAAGCAGCAGGAACCTGGGTTTCTGGGGGATCCCAGTACTAGAGTCTACTCCTCCCACTCCATGGGGGCACGAGTAGACCTAGAGCCCATCTCACCAAGGAGCTGCCTCACCAAAGTGGAGCTGGCCAAGAGCCGGCTGGCAGGGGCCCTGTGCCCCCAGGTGCCCCGGGTCCCTGCCAAAGTGCCAACCTCAGCACCCAGCCTGGGCAAACCCAGTAAGAGCCCACATGGAAGCCCCACAAAGCTACCTTCCAAGTCACCCACCAAGGTGGTGCCCCGACCCGGAGCACACAAGGAGCCCCTTAAGCCTGACAAGGGGAAGGGCCTGCCTTGGGCAGACTGCGGTAGCACTGTAGCCCAACCCACACCCTCAGCAACTGGCCCCACAGATCCAAGCCAGGTGGTCCCTGAGGGGCCGGCCCCCCACTCTGCCATCGAGGAGAAGGTGATGAAGGGCATTGAGGAGAATGTGCTTCGGCTCCAGGGCCAAGAGCGGGCCCCAGGCACTGAGGCCAAGCACCGCAACACCAGCAGCATCGCCAGCTGGTTCGGCCTTAAGAAGAGCAAGCTTCCTGCACTGAACCACCGCACAGAGGCCACCAAGAGCAAGGATGGGGCCAGCGGGGGCTCTCCACTCCGGAAAGAGGTCAAGATGGAAGCCCGGAAGCTGGAGGCCGAGAGCCTCAACATTTCCAAACTCATGGCAAAGGCTGAAGACCTGCGCCGAGCCCTGGAGGAGGAGAAGGCCTACCTGAGCAGCAGGGCTCGGCCCCGGCCCGGAGGACCAGTCCCAGGGCCGCAGGTGCAGGGCCAGCTGGCTGGCATGTACCAGGGCGCAGACACCTTCATGCAGCAGCTACTCAACAGGTGAGGGCTTGGAAACCACCTATCAGACAGGTACACAGTGGGCTGTGGGCACTCTGCCTACTGGGCACACTGCATCTCGAGCTGGGGTCCCCTGTCAAGGGAATTCAGGCTTTCTAGAGGTGATAGGGATCTCTGGTGAACTAGTGGGTGGAGAGTTCAAATCTACCAGCTGCTCCATGGGAGAAGATGGGCAGTTTCCACTTGTGTAATTAACAGCCTCTGAAAACCCACTTGGAGAGTCAGCTGTGAGTCATTTCTGACTTGATGGCAATGAATTTGAGGTAGGGGCTTTTTTTTTTTTTTTGATAAGTCAAAGAAGTAGGAGGCAAGTGCAATGCCACTGAAGCATCTGGAAATTAGAGATTAGTTTGGGGGCTCAAATCAGAAACCTGAGGTTTGTAACATGACCCATACCTCACTGGTTTTGTGGTACCAGGCGTGCTGAGAACCTGACTCCAGTATCAGATGCTGTGGCCAGTCTGTTTAAGTACATGGCATATAATAAGTAAGTGGGTGCTGGATCTTGTCTGGGCCCCTCCCTGGAGAATCTCATTTCATCTTGCTCTTTGGCATCTACCACAAACTGAACAGTGAGAGCTGTGGTTCAGAAAAGGGGCCCACCTCATCTTGGGTTGCTTCATGTAGGCCCAGTGAGCTAACATGTCACAGAGACTGGGTAGGGTGTGGTGCAGACAACAGACACGCTCAGAAGTTGAGCTGGAGCTAGCATCATCCGGACGTGACCCAGTCTGCCCATCTGTCTGTAAACTCGCATTGGATCTCCAGACATGCTCCTGGGTAATTCTGAGGGTGTTCTCTTACCCTTTTCTCTGCTGTTACATGGGGATTTTTCCTAGGGTCTCTGCTTTATCCCAGTGACAGGAGCAGTTTGTAGGGGTAACCACCAGGGATATTGCCCCCTTCCCCAGGGTCTTTCTAGGTCCCACACAGGTAGGGCGTTGGAGGCTGTAATGTGGTGGGCCCTGCCCCTCTGGAGGCCTCCCTCACTTCTGCATTGTTGCCCTCAGGGTGGATGGCAAGGAGCTGCCACCCCAAAGTTGGCGGGAGCCTAAACCAGAGTATGAGGATTTCCAGCCAGTGTCCTCTGATCCTAAGAACCCCTGGCCTGCTTGTGGGCCCCGAAATGGCCTGGTGGGTCCTCTTCAGAGCTGTGGAAAACCTTCTGGGAAGGTAAGTTCTTGGGCTAGGGCCTGGGTAGAGGGACTGGCCTTATGGTCCTCTCAAGGGCTCTTACTTCCTGAGGGCTCCCCTTCCCTGGGGCCTGGTCACACTCATGGACTCCGAAGAGTGGGGGTACTGGGGAGGGCACAGGGCTTCTTGGGTCTAAGGGAGACTGCAAGAACTATCAGACTCATCTCTAGGCATCGATGGCACAGGCCTCACGGACTATGGGTAGGGGGCTGGCTGGGGTGGGGTGGACTCAGGTCTCCTGTCCTCCACAGTCAAGCACGGAGCCAGGAAGACGAGAAGACATCCCCTCAGAGGACAGCCTGGCTGAGCCAGTGCCCACCTCCCACTTCACAGGTCAGCAGGGTCAGGAGCCAAGGATGGGACCTGCCCGCCCGCTCTGCTCCTTTCTGATACTGTAGCAGGTGTCAGGCCCTGAGTGCCATCTTGATGCCACACACTAGATTTATTCTGTGCGCTGGGGCTGCACAGAATAAGTCTCATCCCTCCGGGGGTCTCTGGTCTCCTCCCACAGAAGCTAAAGGCAGAACAGCAGGGACAGCTGGGGCAGGTCCTGCGACCTGGTGTCCCTGGGCGGGGTGAGGAAACTGGGAGATGCTAGCCGAGGAAACAGGCTCCAGCCTCACCCCCTGATGTTCTTTCCCCTCCCCAGCCTGTGGCTCCTTGACGCGAACCCTGGACAGTGGCATTGGGACCTTCCCTCCACCAGACCACGGCAGCATTGGGACCCCCAGCAAGAATCTGCCTAAGACCAAGCCACTACGGCTAGAGCCCCCACCTGGAGCACCCCCAGCTCGGCCCCCGCCCCTTACCAAAGTCCCCCGCCGTGCCCACACGCTAGAACGGGAAGTGCCAGGAGTAGAGGAGCTGCTGGTGAGCGGGCGGCACCCCAGCATGCCCACCTTCCCCGCACTGCTCACCTCGACCCCGGGCCACCGGAGTCATAAGACCTGCCCTGATGGTGAGTGTTGGGGGTGGTTGAGGATATTGTGGGCACTCCCGGGGGTGTACCCCTAGGAATAGCTCACCTACCACATCTGCCTTCCCATTGTTCCTGGGCAGACCCCTGTGAGGATGCAGGCCCTCCCCCTCCTGTACAGCTGGCCAAGAACTGGACCTTCCCCAATGCGAGGGCAGCTGGAAACTCCTGTGACCCCTTCCTCTGCCCACCTCGACAACTGGAGGGACTGCCCAGGACCCCCATGGTGAGAATTCCAGAAGGGTTAAGGAACAAAAAGGGGGGGGGGGCAGGAGGGAAAGACCAGTTCCTTTAATGAGGTGCAGCCTGTGTCTTGTCCAGACATGTCACACCACTGGGGAAGAGAGCTGAGGAAACAGCTCTCAAGTGCTCTACTGGGAAGCCCAACCACGTGCCCTTTTCACCCCTTTTGGAAAAGGCTCCCAACGCTCTCTCAAACCTTACTAAGACCTACCTCTAGCTTGTTTCTTCTAAAGTCCCCTTCACATGAAGGGGGCCCTTCTCCCCAAGTCCACCACCTCAGTCAGGCATAAAATGTGAGTGCCTCTCAGGCTGACCGCCTCTCAGGCTTACCCACAAGTGGAGAGGAGCTCCCTCCTGACCTTCCCCTCCTCCTCCAGGCCCTGCCCGTGGACCGGAAGCCAAGCCTGGAACCCAGCCACCCACCCCCGACACCCCCAGGCCCAACATTTGGGGGTAGTC